CAATTCTGAGGGACTATGGGCATGCCAGGTTGATTAAGAGTGCTGTAGTTACTTGACTACAGCACTATGAATCTAACTGCTCATAATTTAAATAAAAAGTAACAGGAACAGCACTGAGGATAAGAAACCACATACCCACCTGAGCCATGATAACCCTCAGTATAGCAGGCAATGCTGAGACTCCATGGAAACCACCTAGTACCCTATCTAATGTGCCAGAATGGCACCTCCAGAATTGGCTGAGTTAGACAAGCAAAAAGTACCTGATTAGACTAGAACACTTATGTGCAGTTGACATTCAATCAATAAGAGAGAGGATGACCAGAAATGCAAGGAGTCGTACAACTCCAGCTGCCACTCATGCTTCCATAGGAAACTTCCAGTAATCCTTTGGCCATCAGAGGGGTCAGCCAGCACATTCCAAAATAATAAAATTCCAATTTCACAAAAGCACTAAAACAGAAGGGTGCCTTACAAAAGGCATGACAATGATCCCTTTTCCTTCAGCCAAGGAGCTATATTTCACAAGAGGGAAATTTTTCCAATAATGAGGCCAATGGAAAGAGGTGGGAAAACTGGGTGAGTATTTAGATTCAGTCTGAGGATGGGGACAAGAAGTCAAATGACCTCTTCCTTGAAGGGAGGTTAAAATTGAATGAAGACAAATTTAAGTTATCAGACACAAAAAAATATATCAGTATAATAATCAGTATAACAGTAGTATCTTAAAAAGTAAAGCTGAAGCATGAAGAGAAGAGGAACACTTTAGTGAAATTTTGTGCCCAAAAGGAACTAATAAATTATGCTACTGAACTGATAAGAAAACCAAATGAAAATATACTTACACTTAAAAAAATTAATTATGGGTGGGGATGTTGCAGCTGAGAGGGTCATCTAAACTGTGAAGTCAGCATGTTTCTGGCAAAACAGTGATTTGAATGAATAACTGTGACAGCACTTACTTTTTTTTTAAGTCACCCTACCTTCATGGAAGACAGTCACTGTCTTAATTACTGACCAAATCAAGACATAGTGTATACAGTGGAACCCTGGTGTTTGAACTTGATTGGTTCCTAGGTGGTGTTCAAACTGCAAAAAGTTCAAAGTCCGAAACAGTATTTCCCAGGCTTTAATTATCAGCCTCACACACTGGAGGATGTTGAACCGATTCTTCCAAAAGATCATAGTTAAGTCAGTGTCAGAGGTCACTTCAAAGCTCTCTTAAAACAGGGCTTTCCTTTAAAGTTTTTTACAACTGGAGCACTTTCGAACTCCAGAAAAATGTTCAAAGACCGGGTCATTTTTTTCTGAACAAAATTGTTTGGACTCTGGGTTGTCCAGAGTCTGATATGTACAAACACTGAGGTTCCACTGTATTTAATATTTAAAGCATTCTAATTTATATGGGAAACCAAGTTAATGGTGTCCTTATAAATAACTACCTGTTCATATGAATTAACAATTGTTTTATTCAACATATTTATAGATGGGCTTGTAAAAGAAGTGTTGGAGAGAGGGATTGTGTTGAAAGGTAATAAATTTGATACACAGTGGAAGTTGTCACAGTTGCTTTTTGCCAACGACATGTATCTTTTGGGAAATTCTGAAGAAAAGTAACAAAAGAGGATGGAGAAATTTGGGAGAGTAAATAAGAGAAAATTAAAAGTGAACATAAGAAAGAGCAAGGTGATGACAAAAAATCTAGGCAGTGAAAAACTGGATGTCAGATTGAAGGAAGAGAAGGAGTACGGAGGAAGTAAACATATTCAAATATTTGGGAGTGAACCTGTTGGCAGATGGATTTATGAAAGATGAGGTGAACCACAGAATTAACGAGGTGGAAAAGGTGGGTGGCGCATTGAGGCATCTGTAGGGACAAAAAACTTTATCTATGGAAGCCAAAAAAGGGAATGTAAAGAGTATAACGGTACTAACTTTGTTATATGGGTGTGAAATCAAGAACTTTGAATGTTGCAGCGAAGAGGAGGTTGAAGGTAGTGGAGATGTGTTGGAGGGCAATGTGTAGCATAAACATTATGCAGAGAATTCAGGGCTTGGAAATAAAAAAGTGGGGGGTAACCAAAAGTATTATTCTGAAGACAGGATGGGTTGCTGAGGTAGTCTGGACATTTAGAGAGGATGGAGCAAAACAGGATGACTAAGAATCTGGGGTGGAGGAATAAAAGGGTAGGGGTCATCCTAGAAAAGGTAAAGGGGAGGGACTAAAGGTAGTTTTGAGTGCTAGGGAGCCTGGACATTAACAGTTTGTATGTTAGATATTATATTCACAGGGCTGCACTAAGCCCACAGGTATCATGTAGTACTTGGTGAATGGGAGGTAATGGGGTCTGATTCACGAGATACACCCATTATCAAAGAAAAAGGAGTTAAGCATCACAAATATTGAAGGAATTAGGTATGACTTGTGTCCATTATTCCTGATTCATTTTATCTTTGGAAAAAAATAGGATGATACAGTCTAAGACTAAATTGTATACAATATTTATTAATAAAGCATACGAGTAATATGGCACTGGTGATGATACAGTTACATTAAGTGGGGCAGTGTGATCATGTACAAATTACAATTAGTTCGTTTGTCCTTAATCATCACATTTGTCTTCAATGTCCATTATGCCAACAAGAGAGATAAATGCAGTTTAGAAGATGTTTACTCTGTTCCTTAGCAGATATGTACACTGATTATCACTCACATGTGTACTACCTCACTAGTTCACTCCTCCCCAACTAGCTCAGTTGCCAATTACCTTGGCCAAGTGAGTATATGTAAACACTTAACCATTGTAATTATCAATGGACACCAGATGCCTTCCTCTAAGCAATTCAGTTTTGTTCTGTAAAAGCTGAAAAGCAAAACTTGACGTACTGATGAATTTTGTAAAATATATGTACTAAGGAATTCAACAACTGAACATTCAAGAAGACTTAATATTTATAATTCAGATTAACTATGCACAATTACATTAACCAATTACTTAATAATGCTTCTTAACCGGCTATTCTGCTTTATAAAACATTCTGTCACGTGAAATATAATTTACTTATTTATTATTATTATAATTATTATTATGATTATATATACACATATACACAAACACATGAGGTACTGGTACCTTCTTCCATGATTACAAATAATACAACAATTATATCTGCATGGCATAACTGTAAAATCCTATCTTGGAATAAAGCAAGCATAAAACTTGCTATGCACTGTATATATTAGTCATAGACATTATGATACATGTCATACATGTCAATTATTGCAAACATGTGTATGCCATCAGGCTTACTCAGTTATTGTGTAGTTCACCAGTAAACAAAGTTCTTACCATTAACATATAACATCATTCACAGACATAAATGCATCATAATAGAGGTTATCTGGCACAGAGACCTGTGAGGTCCATATCGTGTAGCTGCCAAGGGCAGGGAGACGGGAGGAGAGTGACAGGTCACGTTAGCTAATCGGAGTACACCTCCTGTTTTATACAGTAGAACCAAATGTGGTTACATCACAAGTCCTAGTGCCACCATGGAGACACGACTTGACTATAGTCGACCTGAGTCCTTAAAAAGTAAATGTGGAGCATCATAAAACATGATTGTTTCCTACCGGATATTCAGAAACAGGCATTCTATTCACCAAAAAATGCAATATATGTCCAAGGAATTATCCCAAATGCCTCGCATACTGGCGGAATGAGTTTGTCACAAAGCCAAAGAAGCCTATAACAAAAGAATTAAACATTTTTATTAAGTAGGCTCAGAGGGCATAATGACTTGGATGAGCATTTACTTTGACTATAACTTCCTTGTAGAGACTCTCTACATATTTTTGTCACACATCTAATAAATAAAAGAGAAGTCTCAATAGTCCTCAAATTTGGCTCAAGGTTTTGCTTAATTTATCATTTAAGATGCAGTTAAATTTGGTCCTCAAGTCGTGAATGGAATATTGCAATTATATGCGCTAAGGCATATATTACAAACCATGATAAGCATGGCTCTAAGCTGAACAGTTTCAGAATAATATGCCAAAAGTATTAACAGTCATTTCACTTTTATTCAATACTTTAATGATTTTGCCATCACACTAAAAGGTGAGTAAATGTATAAATCCTGTAGTTTCCTTTGATCATAATACCCTCTTTTCAGATACAAATACAGATGTCAGGCAGATTATTTGATTACAACGTACGCAATGGCACACTGCCAGATCACCTGCATAAACATCTACTCTTAGATCATAGCTCAAGCTCTAATTGCAACACTAATATGTTTTTCACAGAAATATAAAGTTTTATCCTCTTTTATTGATGATAGCCCATGAAACTTCAAATATATCCACAATTAAATTATAATATAGATCTCTCTGTCCAAGGTGCAACCAATATAAAAATACTATTCTAGTTAAAATATCATATGGTGAAAGCAGAATGTAACTGCTAAACATTCATACAAAATACTTTGGTATGTGTTTTGAGCACAGTTTCTGCATCTCCGACACTGAACTGAGTGATGCGCACAATGGCCAAAATAATGAGGTAAAATACTTCAGTCCTCATTTTGCTCTTATTAAGAAATACAGAGGGGTTTCCAAACTTACAAACGAGTTGCACTCCAGTTTTTCAACTTACACATGTATTTGTATAGAAAATGCTAGTACAAAGAATGGCTGTTTCACACATGTTCATACTGTGACTCAACAGATGCAATATTTTATTTTGTTCGTAAGTGACCCATTTCTAGGTAGTAGGTTGGTAGACAGCAACCGCCCAGGGAGGTACTACCGTCCTGCCAAGTGAGTGTAAAACGAAAGCCTGTAATTGTTTTACATGATGGTAGGATTGCTGGTGTCCTTTTTTCTGTCTCATGAACATGCAAGATTCCAGGTAGTCTTGTTACTTCTACTTAACTTAGGTCACATACACATACATGTACAAGCAATTAACACACCCCTCTGGTTTCTTCTATTTCTTTCTAGTTCTTATTCTTGTTTATTTCCTCTTATCTCCATGGGGAAGTGGAACAGAATTCTTCCTCCGTAAGCCATGCGTGTTGTAAGAGGCAACTAAAATGCCGGGAGCAAGGGGCTAGTAACCTCTTCTCCTGTATATATTACTAAATGTAAAAGGAGAAACTTTCGTTTTTCCTTTTGGGCCACCCCGCCTCGGTGGGATACGGCCGGTGTGTTGAAAGAAAGAAAGAAGTGACCCATTTGTAAGTGTGGATGTGTGTAACTTTAGGCATTTGTAAGTTGGGCATCCTCCTGTGGTGTGTAAGTAGGTATACGAGGTATACGAGACCAGTGTCAAATTTCCAACATGCAAGTGTTTATATCTCCATCACCATACCAGAGTTCGCAGCCATAATAACCATCACTATTCAGCTTCACTGACTCGGGTTTGTCTCTGTAGCTTTGTAGTATTTTCATTACTAAAGCTCACACACATTTCCAAATGTGTCATTGCTTAGGGCACCTGAGTCATCACAGAAGAAAGGTTAACTTCAAGGAGATACATAAAAACCACTGAAAGTGTAATTAAAAGTTTACTTGCATGTGCTTTTTCTTTCAAGCCATATACTTGTCATCCTCATATATTGTAAACAAAATGCCAATATATACCTTCACTATTTAACTAAAATCACTGAGAAGGTTGACAATACATGACGATGAATTGTAATGAATTTCATGAAGCACCAGAAATATTTATGCACAAAATAAACTGTACAAAGCTAGAGTTGCTCCCAGCCCACACCCGTCTCCAAACACTCCTCCTTACCCCTTTACCCTGGGTCCATGGTGAACACTTGCCGGATAACAACATCAGTATAGTATGCATGTGTAGTGTCAAGACTGCTTACATGAAGCAATCGATTTGACACTAATGCAGGAGATTGGTTTGCGTCTTCTCCTTTTGTTGTGAGCACCACGAGTCTCCTGGAGATCTGCGGGAGACATATCGGGGCGATTTTCTGCCTGGATTCTTGACTCTGTTATAGATAAAAATAGTAACAACTTTTAATTCCTGAGGTTTTATGTCCTAATTACATTAATTTCATTGGAAAGACTTCAAATTTACCAGTGCATTAAATTTTCTTTCTAAAACCTTTAATTGTGCGAATCCATGCAATAAGTGAAGAATGGTTCTTCTAACTGACTTCAAGATTTAACCTCTGGTATATTCACAGAAAGCAAAGTTTGCATTGTTATTAGGTAATTTTATTAAATTATGGACAAAGCTTTGAAAAATCAAACTATAGCATTAATCAATTTTATAGCAAATAGATAGACTGATATTCAATTAGTAACCTGAACTCAAAATATTTTCAGTTCAAAGAGGCTGACTAGCAACTGAAGTATTATTACTTTTATATAAAATTTACTAAACCTGTAATAATGGTACAAAATTGCAAGGCAGAGGAATATTGCAGTCAAGGGAATAATGAAGTAAAGGAAAAATAAGTGTGAAGGATGATCTCACTCATGGGCCAAATAATTCAGTCTTGGTAAAGAAATCATAGTGTGTTTACAGAGAAGGGCAGCCAAGGGCATGAAAAAATTATATAAAAAAAAAATAAAAGGTCAGAAACAAATTATACAAACTTGTTGCTAAACAGGACAATCAATTAAAAAATGATGAACTGTCAACAAGACTTGACAGCTGTTGCAGAGACATGTCATTACTACGTCCAAGTCTTATATGGCCATTACAGTTGAACCACAAAAGGTCTGTTTCATAATTTACATGGTTTGATTATACATTTTTACTGAAGAATACTCAGCATATAGTTTCAATTACTCAGTTATTCTTAATGTCCATTTTTATTTTATTTGCCACACAACTAAACTAAAAATAATTATAAGATTTCATTCAAAATATGCTCATTCTCTCTCATCAATGTCAATATTAAGCAAAGCCAAACAATAAGATGGCAAAAAACGTTTAAATAACTTGTACATGTTAAATATTCTAATATTCATATTGTTAGGACGGGATGCTCAAATTCCTTGGATAAAGAGCTCTTCACCTGAATCAAGGTTGATGAAGGGTCTGCCAGGGAAAAAAAAAAAAAAAAAAAACATACTACGAGTCAGTGTACAGTGTGAACTGGGACCCTTAACATCCAAGAGTACAAAAACAGCAAGGGTGGTAGGAAGCTCTGCAAGAAATACCAACAACTGCTTGGTGTCTGGACATAACCTGGGTCCTCACCAATGATCACAACAGTGTTCACCTCACCCTCACTCTTCAACCTGTCAGTGGAGACCTTGAATCACCCACTATGAATAGAATCATGGTCAAGGGACACAGCCAAGAACATCACTGAGACTCCAGTATTATACGAGGAAGGCATGGGAAAACCACCTTCTCTGATTGCAATGCATTCGGTCAACAACACTGCATCCAAACATGAAGCCATCCACTGTCAGGTGAAACTCACCTCCAGTACTCTCCACAGAGGGCATTGGAAGAACCCGGCCTCCCCAACAGCACACACATCCAGGCCACACTCCAGGAGAGCAGCCCACATCCAAACATGGAAGGGCAAGAAGTCTCTCTTTCGACTGGAACCCCCCACCTTCGTTGAACAGACCATAACATAAGCCAGAGTGCCAGCCCTGTGCTGTACCTGAAAAACAGGTAGCGCAAACTCAGCTTTTCATGATGGAGATCCAGCAAGAGTTCACCAGTGTCTACAGAGACTGTCAACAGGGGATGCTTGAAATATTCAAATGCAAAAACAATCTCCAGGCAAATGCAGCATGGAAAGGGGAGTGACAGTTGCATACAGGCAGAGCACTGTCAATCTGCTCCCATGGAGTGGCTAAGAAACATTAAAATGTCTGGAGCTCATTATTCATGAAGAGGTACAGAGCAAACACTATCCCATAAAGGTGAATAGGCAATAAGACTGCCAGGAAGAATGAGCTGGGAAGCTAGCAGAGCATATAAAAAAATAAAGTGCCTAATTAAGAACCCAATCCAAGGGAGGTAAAAGGAAGTCAGATACACCTGCTAGTTCACAAGAATAAACACAACTTAGACAAGTACAGAGGCACCTGTGATGGATGGTGACAAAAACTAAAATGTCTCCTTTATCAACCAGGCTATGAGTGTGGGTAGAATATACTGGTACCCATTTCTTCTCCTGGAGACCTAGAGTCAATGGGGTATGCTTCCTGAGATTCTACCTGTGACTGGTTTTGAGGGCTCTTCTACCCCCTGCAACTCAGCACAAGGTTCGGCTCCCCTGTTGACCGCCTGGTCAACCAGGCTGTTTATGCTAGCAGCCTGCAGGGCAGCATAGACATCACAACCTGGCTGGTCCAGCACTTAGGGAAGGAAGCTGTCCGGCTTCTACAGGAACCTTCTATCTTTGTTCTGGCAATATTTCTGATATCTACTGGTAGTAACATGAAGACTCTTGGAATACAAATGCTGAAACATTGCTCTCTGTACTCAAGGCCTCTCTGCTCTTTACTGGATTTATTCCAAACTTTCTCCCATATCTTTTTATCCAATCATAGAACATATTTGTAAGTATTACTTTCAAAGGATAGAGCTAGACCAATAGAGAGTATACAATGACTGGAGAATGGGAGACAATCAGATTTGATTCTAAGAAGAGTGTAGCATCAATTCCTAGGATCAACAGCTTTTCAGTGGCATCAAGGCACCTACCTTCTCCTTTGAAGGGTCACAGAATATAATGCAATAGGGTTGTAGGTGTAAAATATACAACTTTGAACACACACAAAAATCCATATACAAGCAGAAACCAGAAAAATAAAGAAAATATAGAGAAGGAATTAATTATAAGAAATGAGAGTAAATGAGACATTCATATTGAATGTAATTACAGTATACATGGTTCAATGAAAAAAAAAAAGCCCAAGAAGTTGAAATTTAAAAAAAAAAAAAAAAAATTATAAAAAAAAAAGACAAACCATTCAGTTCATGCTCGGTGATTAATTCATCCTCAGATTCTGAATCATAATAATGGTAGCGCAAGGTACGGGACTATAGTGATGCTGTGACGACTATCATCACCACCCACTGACACTTCTTCTTCTGTGCGGGGATGCTTCTTGCAACACCAGCTGTTGAAGGAAACATACAAGTAAATAAATGCTGATAAGTGCTGAACAATTAATGTACAGTATTAACTTTTTTATTTTTTAACACAACAACCATTTCCCACCAAGGCAGGGTGACCCAAAAATGAAGAAACACTTTCATCATCACTCACTCCATCACTGTCTTGCCAGAAGCATGCCAATACTACAGCTCAAAAACTGCAGCATATTTTCACCCCTCCTTCAGAGTGCATGCACTTTACTTCCCACCTCTATGACTCGAGTACTGCAAACCAGTTTCCCTGAATCCCTTTGTAAATGTTACCTTGCTCACAGTTCAACAGCACATCAAATCATAAAAACCATTTGCCTACACTCACTCCTGTCTAACAAACTCACACATACTGGCTGGAAGTCTAAGCCCCTCACACACAAAACCTCCTTTACCCCCTCCCTTCAACCTTTCCTAGGAAGACCCCTACCCTGCCTTCCCACCACTGCAGATTTATATACTCTCCAATTCGATCTATTTTGTCCCATCCTCTCTAAATGTCCAAACCCCCTCAACAACCCCAATTCAGCCCTCTGGATAATACTTTTAGAACCCCCCTTACCTTCTAATCTCCATGCTATGGATTCTCTGCATAATATTCACACTACACATTGCCTTTTGACATGACATCTCTACTGCCTCCAGCCTTCTCCTTGTTGCAATATTCACAACCTAACAAATCAACTCCCAAATATCTGAACACATTCACTTCTTCCATACTCCCTCCCTCTAATCTGATCTCCAATTTTTTGTTTCCTAAATTTTTTGTTATCCTCATCACCTTGCTCTTTCCTACATTCACTTTTTATTTCCTTCTTTTACATACCCTCCCAAATTCATCCACTAACCTCCGGAACTTCCCTTCAGAATCTTCCAAAAGCACAGTGCCATCAGAAAAGGGAAACTGTGAAAACTTCCACTTTGTGTTCAATTCCTTACCTTTTAATCCCACACCTCTTGCCAGTACCTGAGCATACATTTCTCCTACAACCCCATCTATAAATATATTGAACAACTATAGTGACATCACACATCCCTGTCTAAGAACTATTTTTACTGGAAAATAATCTCCCTCTCTCCTACATACCCTAACCTGAGTCTCACTACCCCTGTAAAAACCTACCACCCATTCTATACACCTGCAACATCTGCTGCATTACTCCCCTACCCACCCTATCAAATGCATTTTCCAAATCCATAAAAATCTAAATACTGTTCATTTATATGCTCCAATGTAAACACTTGGTTTACACATCCCCTACCCTTGCTAAAGCATCCTTGTTCATGTGTGATCCTTCTCCCCATTATACTCTCAATTCTTTCAATAATAACTACCACACAGCTTACCAGGTATACTCAACTCTTACTTTCTCTCTTTTGTCCCCTCTGCCTTTATACAAAGGAACTATGGATGCTCTCTCCTAATTCCTATGTACCTCCCTTTTTTCATACATTTATTAAATAAAAGCACCAACCATTCTAAAACTACATCCCCTCCTGCTTTTAACATTTCTGTCTTGATCCCATCAATCCCAGCTTCATCCTCTCTCATTCTACCTACAGCCTCAGGTACCTCCCCCAAACTCACATCTGGCTCTTTCTCACTCCTAAAAGATGTTAAACCTGGCCAATGCATGAAATTACTGCCTCCCTCTCTTCATCAACATTTTACAGTTCCTTAAAAAACGTATTCCCACCATCTTCCCAAAAACTTCATCTCCCTGTCTACAAACTCTCCTATTCTGCTTTTAACTGTCAAATCTATTTGTTTCCTAGGCTTTCTTAACCTATTTATCTCACCCCAATTTTTTTTCTTATTCTCAGCAAAATTTGTTGACAATGCCTCATCCACTCTGTCATTTGCTCTCCTTTTGCATTCCTTCACCATTCTCTTCACATCTCTTTTACTCTCCATATACTCCACCCTTCTTATATAACTTATAAAGATCTGTAGTATTATTAAATGATTTTTCAATGTTGTTTGGAGATGCAGGTTAGAATCACATGATATCCTAGAGGTCTTAACCAATGCAAAACCCAAGCAAATGATGATACCCTTGAGGTCACTCGTTCTCTCTCTCTAGGCTGGAATATTGCTGTGTACTAATGGCCCCCTTCAAGGCAGGCAAAATTGCTGAGCTGGAAAATGTACAGAGAACCTTCACAGCTTATATAAACTCAGTCAAGCACCTAAATTACCAGGAGAACTTAAAGTCCCTAGAACTGTACTCATCAAGATGTCAGTGAAAAAGACACATCATACTCCATTTGAAAGATACTGGAGGGATTGGTCCCAAACCTGCACACCAAAATTACTACTTATGAACACAAGAAGCTTGGCAATAAATAAAATGGATATGGAAAACAGGGATAAAAAAGAGGATATGGAAAATAGGAATAAATAAAGAGAATACAGAAAACAGGAATAAATAATAGGATATGGAAAATAGGAATAAATAATAGGATATGGAAAACAGGATTAAATAAAGAGAATATGGAAAATGGGAATAAATATAGAAAACATGAATAAATAATGAGGATATAAATAAAGTGCTGAAAATACCTAACAAAGACAGGACTCAAAACAATAGCTTCAACCTGGACAGGTTAAAATTTAGGAAGGATACAGAAACATATTGGCTTGGCAATAAGTATGTAGAGTGGAACAAACTGTAAAGCGGAGTAACTGAAGTGAGTACTCCTACTTTGGGTAGCTTTAAAAATAGGTTGGACAGGTAAATGTGTGCAAGCAGTTGAGTAAGAGTAAGATCTGTCAAACATGGGCTAGTAGGCCTACTGCAATTATCTCTATTCTTATGTTCTAATACAATAATTTATGGTATAAGCAAGCCCTGAAAATGATACACATCACAGCATTCAATATTTGGTTCTTGCAGCTAAAGCAGAAGCTAGCTACAATAGGTAAATGTAATTCAATGGAACTCACTCATGAACTTTGACTTGATCCAATGACATGCGCTGATAAGGATCCTTCAAAAGCATCCCTTCTAGCAAGGAAATAAGCACAGGATCCAGTTCTTCGGGTAAAACTAAAGGCTTCTCACATATATTTTCAAAGAGACGGAACATGTTTTCCCCTTCAAATGGATATTTTCCGCTGGTTAAGTTAAATCTGAAAGAAAAAAAAAACAGTATTACAAAGTAACAAATACGGTTACCCTACAATATTTTCCAAAATGGTTTTTGGGACTTGACAAGCAATTGGAGTGTGAGTAGGGTAATATTTTGTAAAGGGATTCAGGGAAACCAGTTATCCGGACTTGAATCCTGGAGGTGGGAAGTACAGTGCCTGCACTCTCAAGAAGGGGGTTGGAATATTTGCTGTTTAGAGTGACATCTAAACTGTCATATCTGCACACCTCTGGCAAGACAGTGATAGCGTGAATGATGCTGGAATAGTTTGCCTTTCGGGTCACCCTGCCTCGATGGAAGACGGCTAGTGTGTTAAAAAACAAAATCCAAAATAAAATACAGTGGACCCCCGGTTAACGATATTTTTCCACTCCAGAAGTATGTTCATGTGCCAGTACTGACCGAATTTGTTCCCATAAGGAATATTGTGAAGTAGATTAGTCCATTTCAGACCCCCAAACATACACGTACAAACGCACTTACATAAATACACTTACATAATTGGTCGCATTCGGAGGTGATCGTTATGCGGGGGTCCACTGTACAAGCTTCCCAAACAACACTGTATATTCCTACACAGAAATCAGACCAGACAAATTGATACTAAATGATTAAAATGAAGACTAGATCTCTAACAGAAGGGAGAGAAAAAACAATCATTTATATGGGCATCATAGAGACAAGGTCACTTTACAGACAGAAATGTTTAAATTAATAGGTCAAAAATATAAGTAAAGCAAAATGAGAACAGGAAACCAAAGCTGCAGGGGAATCCAAGATAAATCATATAGGACTAAAACAGAATGTATAGGTCTACTTAACTCAAGTAGGTCATTCCACAAAGTCATCCACAAGTTCAAAAATTATTTTTTTAATACACTGCCCATCTCCCACAAAGATTAGAGATCTGACAAGAAGGAAAACACTTTCACCATCATTCAATCAATGTCCTGCCAGAAGCATACAGACATCACAGTTCAGGTGACCCTTCCAATCACAATATTCCCAACCCTCTTTCAGAGAGCAAGCACTGTAATCTGGCTAAATGGTTTTCCCAAATCCTTTCATAAGTGATACCCTGTTCACACTCTGACAGCACGTCAAATCATAAAAACCACTTGCCTCCACTCACTCCTATCTATTCTGCCAATGATGGGATGCTCTACTGAACCCCCTTTTTATACTTCATGGCAATATAAGGTTCATTTACATATTTATTTTGTGCTTCATAATAGGCTAGCCTCCTACTTCTGATACATTCAGAGTGCCTTGCAGTGTGGATGGACAAGGGATGCCTGTAAAAGTCAGCTCGATTACTGAGCTCTGTCACTGGTAGGTCCTACTGTGAGAATAAAGATATGTTTGCAACATTTACTTCATTTTACTAGGAGATATTTTTGCCTACTGGGGGGCTTTGTCAAGCAAATGATTTGAATGATAAGGCCCCAGCGGATAGAACTACTAATAAAATCCTAATTGCTGCATTTGTATCTTAATTTCCACAATTTTTCAATTTTTATGAAGATATTATATATCAGTCCCTGCTTTTTGCTGCCTTGTAATGGTTTTTAACCCTTTGACTGTCGCAACCCCAAATCCTGAAGTGTCTCCTGGTGTCGCAAAATATTTGAAAAAAAAAAAAAAAAAATAATTTTTTTTCTTATGAAGTGATAGAATCTTTTCCCTATGGTAATGACACCAAAAGTATGAAATTTGATGGAAAACTTACGGAATTACGCTCTCGCGAAGTTAGCAACCTTGGCGATATTTACGAATTGGCGCTTTCATCCACTTTGAGCCCTATTTTCAGCTAATTCCATTGTTCCAGTCGACCAAACTCACAACTATTTCTTTAGAATTCCATCTGTTCTATCAATTGAGTACAAGAAACTGCCCATTAACCAATTTCAACTACCCAATAAAGTGGTCAGCAACTTGCAATTTGACTAATTTCACGCAAATTAAAAATAAGGCATTTTCAAAATAGGGTCCAGAATGAACAATGCAGACATTCCTGGCTCAAAAATAACATTTTCTTTGTTCATCAGTCACGTCTCCGGGCCCCTCTGATATTACTCTTGCTTTCTATTTTGAATTTTTATTTAAACAAAAAATAGAAGATTTACTGTTATGCAGACTACTGCAATATTGTAATAATTGTATAAATAACATCAACCCATTCATGACTGCATATTAAAATGGCTAGTTGGACATTTATTGGACAATGACATCATTTGTTTAATCTTGAACATTGGCAAAAATCAAACATTTCCCCTACTTTGAGCTCCATTTGAAGGTCCTTTTCATAGTAAAACCAATCAAAATCACCTCTATTTCTATAAAATGTTTTTCATTCTATCAAATGTGACTACGAAAACGAGAATATAACTATAAAAACTACACAAAAATACACCTCAAAGTCGGTGTCTTAATCCAAAAACACGGTCGGAGTTTTTTTTTTTCTCATTATACACTGCATGCTGCAGGATTTTTTTATATGGTGCACACTGACCACACAGACCCATTCTCTCATATGTGGGCCTACCAGCTTTCTTCTGCTTGATTTGAAGCCGCTAGAATTTTTGAGTATACAGTGGACCCTCGACCAGTGATGGCATCGATTAACGATAAATCTGACTAGCGATACATTTTATCGCAAAAATTTTGCCTCAATTAGCGCTGAAAAACTCGGCCAACACTATTCGTTCCGTCTGAGACGCGTCCACTTCTGGCCAGTGTTTACAAGCCAGCCAGCCACCGCGGTCGCTTCCAAGCATACAATCGGAACATTTCATATCATCACAGCCTTTTTAGTGATTGCACCTGCAAAATAAGTCACCATGGGCCCCAAGAAAGCTTCTAGTGCCAACCCTACAGCAAAAAGGGTGAGAATTACTATGGCTATGAAGAAAGAGATCATTGCTAAGTATGAAAGTGGAGTGCATGTCTCCATGTCTCCAAGCTGGCCAGGCTGTACACAAAACCCCAATCAACCATCGCTACTATTGTGGCCAAGAAAACGGCAATCAAGGAAGCTGTTCTTGCCAAAGGTGCAACTATGTTTTCGAAACTGAGATCGCAAGTGATAGAAGATGTTGAGAGACTGTTATTGGTATGGATAAACAAAAAACAGATAGCAGGAGATAGCATCTCTCAAGCGATCATATGTGAAAAGGCTAGGAAGTTGCATGACGATTTAATTAGAAAAATGCCAGCAACTAGTGGTGATGTGAGTGAATTTAAGGCCAGCAAAGGTTGGTTTGAGAGATTTAAGAATCATAGTGGCATACATAGTGTGATAAGGCATGGTGAGGCTGCCAGTTTGGACCAAAATGCAGCTGAAAAATATGTGCAGGAATTCAAGGAGTACATAGACAGTGAAGGACTGAAACCTGAACAAGTGTTTAATGGTGACACTGACAATGTTGTGAAACACTTTAGGAATGTCATAAAGGAACGGGAGGTACAGGCCTCTATGGGCAGATATGTTGTGCGACAGAGGTCCAGTGACTCTCAAGCTGGTCCTAGTGGCATTAAAAGAAGAAGGGAAGTAACCCCAAAAAAGGACTTGCCACCTCAAGTCCTAATGGAAGGGGATTCCCCTTCTAAACACTAAGACCATCAACACACTCCCCTCTTCCCATCCCATCAATCATCACCAGATCTTCAATAAAGGTAAGTGTCATGTAACTGTGCATGTCTTCTTCAGTTTGTGTGTATTAAAATTAATATTTCATGTGTTAAAAATTTTTTTTTTTCAATACTTTTGGGTGTCTTGCACGGATTAATTTGATTTCCATTATTTCTTATGGGGAAAATTAACTTGACTAACGATTATTTTGACTAACGATGAGCTCTCAGGAACGGATTAATAGCGTTAGTAGAGGGTCCACTGTATACAGGTCAAACACACTGGCTCGTAAGACGTATATATATGACCGAAACAGTCAAAGGGTTAAGTAAAGAAGTATAGTATATTGTAAAGTTTAAATATTCCTGTGGTTGTAGCATTTGCCAATTCTTCTTGCAGCTCAATCCAGTGATCTATCACTCTGCAAAGAAATTTTTTTTAAAAGCTCTTTCGGCAGCTCTTTTCTGGTACTTGCGTAAGTTTGCAACGGCAGGGATTCTTGGCCTAAGAGGAAGCCACTGCATTGGCTTACTGCATCCTGGTGCAAGCTTTGCCCATGGCTAAATATAGAGATTTCCTTTTCACACTAATTCTTTCATAACCCTTTTCATGAGTAGGTAAATATTACTGCTGGAAAAAAATTTGTGAGTTAACAGTGAATTTTCAGGTGTCTGTTGAAATTGCCCTCATATATTTCTTGGGGTCCTTTACATACTGTGGTTTCATTAGAGTCCAACAGATGAAAACTGAGTTTTGAATACTAAGATACTTGCTTCTGAGTCAGAGAGAATAGGGGCCTCTGGATTTCCACCTCCCCCAGCTGTGATGTTCTCACTGATAACTAGACCTGGTCAGGTGTACATGCTCAGCACACCTGAGTTATTGTTGAACTGAACAACAGCACAACAAATGAATAGCACCTGGTGAGTGGAGGCAAACTAGGAGCACAATTGAGTACCTAGATCATACTGCATTCAAAATAGTTATATACAGCCTCTCCTCACTTAGCCATGTACTCATTTACCAACGACTCGGGCTTGCAATGGGCTTTCTGACCAGTATGCATACCTAAATACACGTAATATATATTACAACTGACTTCCTCTATTCTGTTTATTACAATATACAGTACACTGAAGGATGGGTGTTAATGTTGCAGTTTAAAAACTGTAGTGTAAAGCACCCTTCTGGCAAGACAGTGATGGAGTGAATGATGGTGAAAGTTTTTCTTTTTCGGGCCACCCTGCCTTGGTGGGAATCGGCCAGTGTGCTAATAATAAAAAAACAGTACACTACTGTATAAACATTTAAAAGTATACTAAAAATGTTACAAATGGTGCAAAGGTGACATTAAAACAATATCAAAGATGGATGACACAAATCTTCTACCCTTATCGTATGCTCCTTGCTTAGTGACAAATTTGTTTGCCGATGTGGTCTTAGGAACGGAACTCCATCATTAAGTGAGGTGAGGCTGTACATCACTTTACATAAAAGCTAGAGTAAAACTAAAAATGCTTCATTGAAGACTTACAGGGTACAGCCAGCACTCCAGACATCGACCTTAAACCCAGGAAACACTCTTGTTCCACCAGCTACTTCTGGAGGCTGGAAAAGGGGTGAACCTTGACTAGTGGTTATCTCATCACTTCCTGTTGTTATATCCAGTTGCTGCAAAGGAAAATGAAAGGTTCTCTAGATTATTATTATTGTTATTATTATTATCATTATTATTTATTTTTTATTATCACACTGGCCGATTCCCACCAAGGCAGGGTGGCCCGAAAAAGAAAAACTTTCACCATCATTCACTCCACCACTGTCTTGCCAGAAGGGTGCTTTACACTACAGTTTTTAAACTGCAACATTAACACCCCTCCTTCAGAGTGCAGGCACTGTACTTCCCATCTCCAGGACTCAAGTCCAGCCTGCCGGTTTCCCTGAACTCCTTCATAAATGTTACTTTGCTCACACTCCAACAGCACGTCAAGTATTAAAAAAACCCTTTGTCTCCATTCCCCTCCTATCAAACACGCTCACGCATGCCGCTGAAGTCCAAGCCCCTCGCACACAAAACCTCCTTTACCCCCTCCCTCCAACCTTTCCTAGGCCACCCCCCACCCCCCCCCCTTCCTTCCACTACAGACTGATACACTCTTGAAGTCACTCTGTTTCGCTCCATTCTCTCTACATGCCCGAACCACCTCAACAACCCCCTTTCCCCAGCCCTCTGGACAACAGTTTTGGTAACCCGCACCTCCTCCTAACTTCCAAACTATTCTCTGCATTATATTCACACCACACATTGCCTCAGACCACACTCCCTGCCTCCAGCCTTCTCCTCACTGCAACATTCATCCCCATGCTTCACACCCTTAAGCTTTGGGTAAACTATACTCTCATACTTCCCCTCTTGCCTCCAAGGCTTTTTGTCTCACAGATCCAAAGGGCCCACAACCCTTTTCCCCTCATATTCATTTCACCCTCTCTTTGACCATCCGCGACACGCCACTCCAATATTGAATCTCATCCTCCAAATCTCCCCCCAAGAATAATCTTTCATCACCTAACTTTTGTTACCTCAAAACACCCCTTCTGTTTTAAATTTTATTTTTTTTGGCACACCCTACGTAATCATCCCCAACTCTGCAATCTCTCAAATCCCAAGATGCACAGTGTCTCAGCAAAGGCAATGTGACAACTCCACTTATGTGTGATTCTTTATTTTTATCCACGCTCTTGCAAGACCTCGCATTTACTTCTTACAAACCCTCTATAAATATATTAAACAACCACGGTGACATCACACATCCTTGTCAAAGGGCCTACTTTTACGGGGAAATAATTTCCCTCTTTCCTACATACTCTAACTTGAGCCCACTATCCTCGAAAAAAACTCTTCACTGCTTTCAGTAACCTACCTCCTACACCATACACCTGCAACATCTGCCACATTGCCCCTCTATCCCCCTGTCATACGCCTTTTCCAAATCCATAAATGCCACAAAGACCTCTTTAGCCTTATCTAAATACTGTTCACTTATGTTTCACTGTAAACACCTGGTCCACACCCCCCCTACCTTTCCTAAAGCCTCCTGTTCATCTGCTATCCTATTCTCCCGTCTTACTCTTTAATTCTTTCAATAATAACTCTACCATACACTTTACCAGGTAAAACTCACAGACTTATCCCCCTATAATTTTTGCACTCTCTTTTGTCCCTTTGCCTTTATACAAGGAATATGCATGCTCTCTGCCAATCCCTAGGTACCTTACCCTTTTCCCATACATTTATTAAATAATTGCACCAACCACTCCAAAACTATATCCCCACCTGCTTTTAAATTTCTATCTTTATCCCATCAATCCGGCTGGCCTTACCCCCTTTCATTTTCCCTACTGCCTCACAAAACTTCCCCACACTCACAACTGGCTCTTCCCTCACTCCTACAAGATTTTATTCCTCCTTGCCCTATACACGAAATCACAGCTTCCCTATCTTCATCAACATTTAACAATTCCTCAAAATATCCCTCCATCTTCCAAAAACCTCTCCAATAACTCTCCATTTAATAACTCTTTCTCTCCTTTTTTTTAACTGACAAATCCATTTGTTCTCTATGTTTCCCTTTAAAACTTGTTAATCTCACCCCAAAAAACTTTTTTCTTATTTTTCAACAAAATTTGTTAAATAACATCTCACCCACTCTCTCATTTGCTCTCTTTTTACATTGCTTCACCACTCTCTTAACCTCTCTCTTTTTCCCCATATACTCTTCCCCCCTTTGCATTACTTCTACTTTGTAAAAACTTCTCATAGGTAGTAGGTTGGTAGACAGCAACCACCCAGGGAAGTACTACCGTCCTGCCAGATGACTGTGAAACAAAAACCTGTAATTGTTTTGCATGATGGTAGGATTGCTGGTTTCTTTTTCTTTCTCATAAACACGCTAAGAATAACAGGGATATCTTGCTACTCCTACTTACACTTTGGTCACACTTCACAGACACGCACATGCATATATATATATACATACATCTAGGTGTTTCTCCTTTTTCTAAATAGCTCTTGTTCTTTTTTATTTCTTCTATTGTCCATGGGGAAGTGGAAAAGAATCTTTCCTCCGTAAGCCATGCGTGTCGTATGAGGCGCCCAAAAATGCCGGGAGCAATGGGCTAGTAACCCCCTTCTCCTGTATTACAATTACTAAAAAAGAGAAGAAGAAAAACTTTATAAAACTGGGTTGCTTAAATGTGCGGGGATGTAGTGCGGATGACAAGAAACAGATGATTGTGATGTTATGAATGAAAAGAAGTTGGATGTCCTGGCCCTAAGCGAAACAAAGCTGAAGGGGGTAGGAAGTTTCAGGGGGGGGAAATAAATGGGATTAAATCTGGAGTATCTGAGAGAGTTAGAGCAAAGGAAGGGGTAGCAGTAATGTTAAATGATCATTTAAATGGAAGGAGAAAAAGAGAATATGAATGTGTAAATTCAAGAATTATGTGGATTAAAGAAAAAGGTTGGATGCGAGAAGTGGGTCATAAAAAAGCGTGATGCACCTGGAGAAGAGAGGAATGCAGAGGAGAGAGAGAGATTTTGGGAGATGTTAAGTGAATGTATAGGACCCTTTTTTGAACCAAGTGAGAGAGTAATTGTGGTAGGGGACTTAAAATGCTAAAGTAGGAGAAACTTTTAGAGAGGTTGTGGTAGGTAAGTTTGGGGTGCCAGGTTTTAAATGATAATGGGGCCCTTTGATTGAACTTTGTATAGAAAGGGGTTTAGTTATAGGTAATACATATTTTAAGAAAAAGAGGATAAATAAGTATACACGATATGATGTGGGGCAAATGACAGTAGTTTGTTGGATTATGTATTGGTAGATAAAAGATGTTGAGTAGACTTCAGGATGTACATGTTTATAGAGGGGCCACAGATATATCAGATCACTTTCTAGTTGTAGCTACACTGAGAGTAAAAGGTAGATGGGATACAAAGGAGAATAGAAGCATCAGGGAAGAGAGAGGTGAAGGTTTATAAACTAAAAGAGGAGGCAGTTAGGGTAGATATAAACAGCTATTGGAGGATAGAGGGGCTAATGAGAGCATAGGCAATGGGGTCGAAGAAGGTATGGGGTAGGTTTAAAATGTAGTGTTAGAGTGTTCAGCAGAATTTTTGTGGTTACAGGAAAGTGGGTGCAGGAGGAAGAGGAGCGATTGGTGGAATGATGATGTAAAGAGAGTAGTAAGGGAGAAAAGTTAGCATATGAAAGTTTTTACAAAGTGAAGTGATGCAAGGAGGGAAGGTATATGGAGAAAAAGAGAGAGGTTAAGAGAGTGGTGAAGCAATGTAAAAAGAGAGCAAATGAGAGAGTGGGTGAGATGTTATCAACAAATTTTGTTGAAAATAGAAAAAGTTTGGGTGAGATTAACAAGTTAAGAAAGCCTAGAGAACAAATGGATTTCAGTTAAAAAATTTGGGAGGAGAGTTATAATGAGATTAGAGGTTTGGAAGATGGGGATATTTTGAGAATTGTTAAATGTTGATGAAGATAGGGAAGCTTGATTTCGTGATAGGGCAGGAGGAATAACAATTTGTAGGATGGAGGAGAGCGTTGTGAGTGTGGGGAAGTTCGTGAGCGTAGGTAAAAGAAAGGGGGTAAGGCAGCCGGAATGATGGATAAGATAGAAATGGTTTAAAGCAGGTGGGATATAGTTTTGGAGTGGTTGGTGCAATTGTTTAATAAATGTATGGAAGAGGGGAAGGTACCTAGGGATTGGCAGAGAGCATGCATAGTTCCTTTTTATAAAGGCCAAAAGGGGGTAAAAGAGAGTGCAAAATTATAGGGGGATAAGTCTGTTGAGTGTACCTGGTAAAAATGTATGGTAGAGTTTTAATTGAAAGAATTAAGAGTAAGCGGAGAAAAGGATAGCAGATGAAACCCAAAGGGGGCTTTAGGAAAGGTAGGGGGTGTGTGGACCAGGTGTTTACAGTGAAACATATAAGTGAACAGTATTTAGATAAGGCTAAAGAGGTCTTTGTGGCATTTATGGATTTGGGAAAAAGGGGTTTTGACAGGGTGGAATAGGGGGGCAATGTGGCAGTGTTGCAAGTGTATGGTGTAGAGGTAGGTTACTGAAAGCAGTGAAGAGTTTTTACGAGGATAGTGAGGCTCAAGTTAGAGTATGTAGGAAAGAGGGGAAAATTTTTTCCCAGTAAAAGTAGGCCCTTTGACAAGGATGTGTGATGTCCCGTGGTTGTTTAATATATTTATAGATGGGGTTTGTAAGAGAAGTAAATGCGAGGGTCCCTTTGGGAAGAGGCGTGGAGTTAAAAGATTTAAAAAATCACACACAAAGTGGGAGTTGTCACAGCTGCTCTTTGCGATGACACTGTGCTCTTGGAGATTCTGAAGAGAAGTTGCAGAGATTGGTGGATGAATTTGGTAGGGTGTGCAAAAGAAGAAAATTAAAGGTGAATACAGGGAAAAAGTAAGGTATGAGGATAACAAAAAGATTAGGTGATGAAAGATTGAATATCAGATTGGAGGGAGAGAGTATGGAGGAGGTGAACGTATTTAGATATTTGGGAGTGGACGTGTCAGCGGATGGGTCTATGAAAGATGAGGTGAATCATAGAATTGATGAGGGAAAAAGAGTGAGTGGTGCACTTAGGAGTCTGTGGAGGGCAAAGAACTTTGTCCTTGGAGGCAAAGAGGGAATGTATGAGAGTTATAGTTTTACCAACGCTCTTATAGGGTGTGAAGCGTGGGTGATGAATGTTGCAGCGAGGAGAAGGCTGGAGGGAGTGGAGATGTCATGTCTGAGGGCAATGTGTGGTGTGAATAATGCAGAGAATTCGTAGTTTGGAAGTTAGGAGGAGGTGCGGGATTACCAAAACTGTTGTCCAGAGGGCTGAGGAAGGGTGTTGAGGTGGTTCGGACATGTAGAGAGAATGGAGCGAAACAGAATGACTTCAAGAGTGTATCAGTCTGTAGTGGGGGGGAAAGGAAGGGGGGGTAGGGGTCGGCCCAGGAAGGGTTGGAGGGAGGGGGTAAAGGAGGTTTTGTGTGCGAGGGGCTTGGACTTCCAGCAGGCATGCGTGAGCGTGTTTGATAGGAGTGAATGGAGACAAATGGTTTTTAATACTTGACGTGCTGTTGGGGTGTGAGCAAAGTAACATTTTATGAAGGGATTCAGGAAACCGGCAGGCCGGACTTGAGTCCTGGAGATGGGAAGTACAGTGCCTGCACTCTGAAGGAGGGGTGTTAATGTTGCAGTTTAAAAACTGTAGTGTAAAGCACCCTTCTGGCAAGACAGTGATGGAGTGAATGATGGTGAAAGTTTTTCTTTTTCGGGCCACCCTGCCTTGGTGGGAATCGGCCGGTGTGATAATAAAAAAAAATAAAAAAATAAATATTATGATCATGAGAGAAAGGCTATGCCTGAAAAATGTAATGTAAATATATCTGTGCATGTCACAAGAGGCGACTAAAATGCCAGGAGCAAGGGGCTAGTAACCTCTTCTCCTGTGTAAATTTACTAAATTTAAAAAGGAAAGCTTTTGTTTTTCTTTTGAGGTCACCCTGCCTCAGTGGGATACTACTGGTTCGTTGAAATAAAAAATGTATGCTTGTACAACTGTATGGAAATTTGTTAGTACATATTGTTTTGCAAATACATACAGTGAATTTATGTTAAGAATGATTAGTTTTTGTTACTGTATGCACCACACTTAATATCTATGCATAACATAATGCCTATAATTGTTAGGTAACATATATTATGTGGTTCTTCAACCTTAAATAGCCAAAATATTGATCATGAGATTTCAATAATACCATATAAGGAACTAAACAAACTCAGATTTGTGAAAAGGGAATCAACAATCTGGTTTCAGAAATGGGTAAAAAGTTAAATATGGCTGGCTAGTGTAGTCAGCTTAGGAGCTGAATACAATGGAAGTACAGAAGCCACCAAACATAGTTTCAAACACTCACACAAACTAAGTAGCATTTACCTGATTCTTCCATTAATTCTTCCAGATGGATACTTTGTCAATATTATTGATAATTATAATATGCACTAGCCTAAAGGCATAGCATTATCACCCATTACCTATAAAGCTGCTCATTTTAATGCTCTTTGTACACACATACAAAATATTTCATACCAAAAATTACAAAATGGCAAAGATGCCAACATTAATTGTAATATTTCCTTTTCCACTTTCTTAACACTGGCAACAACTTATCAAATTTTTTAAAAAAGTTCACATTTTGTAATGTTTCTTGCAATTGTGCAAGCCTCTCCAGACATACCCATAAAATGAAAAAAATGTCATGAACACTTACTGATGTTGAAGAATATCCCACATGTAGACAGGAAAATACCATTTGAAAAGAAATTAAATATTTCAGCTCCCATCAACAGTATACTGCTGTTGAGAGCCTCAGGTGGTGGTGATGGTGGGGTGAAGTAGCAAACATTAAAAGCAGGGCAAGGCTACAACTGCTGTTGTTTTGTCTATATGTGGGAACCCTTCAGCACATGCCCATAAATTTACTTCATACATCTTAAATCAAAGACACATAGACAGAGTAAGCCTTTCTCAATGAGAGCTACATCTATATTATTATCAATGGCAATGTAATAAAGCTCTTGCTAACCAAAACAGCATTTTAAATAAAGGCTTAATGTCAGTGTGTCATCTTACTGCCTATCTTTCTTATATCCTGCTATCATTGTAAGTACACTTCCCATGTAAAGGAAGTAAAGGAGGGCCCCGCATATACAGCTCCCTCTTTGTTGGTGTTCCATGTTTTTGTTGGTTTTCGATTGAGGCACTTCATTATGTCCAGTGCTCTTACCACTTTTCTGCCATTTATGTATAACACCTGTGTACAACAGTTGTTTAAGGTACGTATTGCATGTACTGTATATTTTACTTGTTTATGTAATGAGCACTTAATAAATGATAGTGTAAACATGTTATCAGGCATTTCAGATGCAACTCTAATGAAAAAACACACTTTTTCCACCACCAGCAATTTTTGCTTACTGTACACGGCCGAGAACCTCGAAGCCATACAAATAGGACCCTCCTGTACCTCTTTTTAACCCTTTCAGGGTCCAAGGCCCAAATCTGGAGTCACGCACCAGTGTCCAAGAATTTTCAAAAAAAAAAATTTTTATTTTTTCTTATGAAATCGTAGAGAATCTTTTTGTGAAGGTAATAAAACAAAAAGTACGAAATTTGGTGGAAAATTGACGAAATTATGCTCTCGCGAATTTTGATGTGTCAGCGATATTTACGAATCGGCGATTTTGCCGACTTTGACTCCCATTTTAGGCCAATTACATTATTCCAATCAACCAAATTCTTAGCTATTTCACTAGTATTACTTCTATTCTATCGATTGAGCACAAGAAATCGCCAAGTCAACTGTTTCAACTACAAAATAAAGTGATCGGAAATTGTTAATTTGGCCAATTTAACACAAAGTTCAAAATATTCCAATTTCAAAATAGGGTCCAGAATGAACAATGTAGGCATTCCTGGCACTAAACTAACATTTCCTCTGTTCATTAGTTATGTTTTGAGGCTTTACAAATAAATTCCATTTTGATTTTTTATTCACATAATGAATTTTTATTCACACCAAAAAATAGAAGATTTACTGTTATGCAATACTGTAATAATTGTATAAATATCATCACCATATTTGTGAATGTATATTAGACCCACCAGCTGGCGTGTATTAGACGTGTGAGGTCGTTTGTTTACTCTTGAATATCGGCAAAAATTTAACATTTCTGCTACTTTGAGCTCAGTTTCAAGCCATTTCCAGTGCTAAAACCAATCAAAATCATCTCTATTTCTGTAATATGTCTTCCATTCTATCAAATGAGACCAAGAAATCGCAAATACAACTATAAAAAACATACGAAAAAACACTGCAAAGTTGCTGTTTTAATCGAAAAATCATGATTTCATTTTTTTTCTCTCATTATACACAGTGTGCTGCAGGATCTGTTTTATGTGGTGCACACATACCACATAGATGTATTCTCTCATATCTAGGCCCAAATGTACCACTCACAGTTTATCAGAGTGAGCTGAGCTCATGGCGTAGATCTACGGTTTGGACCCTGAACGTAAAGCCGTAGATCTACGGGACGGACCCTGAAAGGGTTAAAGAAAAAATGAGGTGGGGATATTGCAATTTGGAGGAGCATCTGAGCTGTAATGTTGGCTCACCATGGGCAAGACAATGATGGAGTAAGTGGTGGTGAAAGTGTGTCTTGTTTTCTGGGTCACCCTACATTGGTGGGGAAGAGCCTGTGGGTTAAAAAAAATAACTGAAGCAAGCTGAAGCTATGGCTCACTCACCTCAGCCACACCAAAATCTGAAATCTTGAGACTGCTGTCAGTGCTGAGGAGAAGGTTACCAGGCTTGATGTCTTTATGTACAACACCTCTACTATGTAGGTACTCCAGCCCCTCAACAAGCTGCACAAAGTACCTGCCAGAAAACACACATTCTACTTAAGTTCCACAAAATATATAGACTATAGATTGTAAAAATTATAGAGGAATAAGTTTACTGAGTATACCAGGAAAAGTGTATGGTAGGGTTATAATTGAAAGAATTAGAGGTAAGACAGAATGTAGGATTGCAGATGAGCAAGGAGGTTTCACAGTGGGTAGGGGATGTGTAGAGCAAGTGTTTACATTGAAGCATATATGTGTACAGTATTTAAAGGTAGGGAAGTTTTTATTGCATTTATGGATTTAGAAAAGGCATATGATAGAGTGGATAGGGGAGCAATGTTGCAGATGTAACAAGTATATGGAATAGGTGGTAAGTTACTAAATGCTGTAAAGAGTTTTTATGAGGATAGTGAGGCTCAGGTTAGGGTGTGTAGAAGAGAGGGAGACTACTTCCCAGTAAAAGTAGGTCTTAGACAGGGATGTGTAATGTCACCATGGTTGTTTAATATATTTATAGATGGGGTCGTAAAAGAAGTAAATGCTAAGGTGTTCGGGAGAGGGGTGGGATTAAATTATGGGGAATCAAATACAAAATGGGAATTGGCACAGTTGCTTTTTGCTGATGATACTGTGCTCATGGGAGATTCTAAAGAAAAATTGCAAAGGTTAGTGGATGAGTTTGGGAGTGTGTGTAAAGGTAGAAAGTTGAAAGTGAACATAGAAAACAGTAAGGTGATGAGGGTATCAAATGATTTAGATAAAGAAAAATTGGATATCAAATTGGGGAGGAGGAGTATGGAAGTAGTGAATGTTTTCAGATACTTGGGAGTTGACGTGTCAGCGGATGGATTTATGAAGGATGAGGTTAATCATAGAATTGATGAGGGAAAAAAGGTGAGTGGTGCGTTGAGGTATATGTGGAGTCAAAAAACGTTATCTATGGAGGCAAAGAAGGGAATGTATGAAAGTATAGTAGTACCAACACTCTTATATGGGTGTGAAGCTTGGGTTGTGAATGCAGCCGAGGAGGTGGTTGGCGGCAGTGGAGATGTCCTGTCTAAGGGCAATGTGTGGTGTAAATATTATGCAGAAAATTCGGAGTGTGGAAATTAGGAGAAGGTGTGGAGTTAATAAAAGTATTAGTCAGAGGGCTGAAGAGGGGTTGTTGAGGTGGTTTGGTCATTTAGAGAGCATGGATCAAAGTAGAATGACATGGAGAGCGTATAAATCTGCAGGGGAAGGAAGGCGGGGTAGGGGTCGTCCTCGAAAAGGTTGGAAGGAAGGGGTAAGGGAGGTTTTGTGGGCGAGGGGCTTGGACTTCCAGCAGGCGTGCATGAGCGTGTTCGATAGGAGTGAATGGAGACGAATGGTATTTGGGACCTGATGATCTGTTGGAGTGTGAGCAGGGTAATATTTAGAGAAGGGATTCAGGGAAACTGGTTATTTTTATATAGCCGGACTTGAGTCCTGGAAATGGGAAGTACAGTGCCTGCACTCTAAAGGAGGGGTTCGGGATATTAGCAGTTTGGAGGGATATGTTGTGTATTTTTATACGTATATGCTTCTAAATGACAATTTTCTTCTTCTTATTCTTTTTAGTAATCTTTACAGGAAAAGGGGTTACTAGCCCATTGTTCCCGGCATTTTAGTTGACTTTTACAACACGCATGGCTTACGGAGGAAAGATTCTTATTCCACTTCCCCATGGATATAAAAGGAAAAGTAATAAGACCAAGAACTATTAAGATAAAATCAAAGAAAACTCCGATGAGTGTGTATAAATAAACGTGTACATGTATGTGTAGTGTGACCTAAGTGTAAGTAGAAGTAGCAAGACGTACCTGTAATCTTGCATATTTATGAGACAGACAAAAGACACCAGCAATCCTACCATCATGTAAAACAATTACAGGCTTTCGTTTTACACTCACTTGGCAGGACGGTAGTACCTCACTGGGTGGTTGCTGTCTACCAACCTACTACCTGACGATCTGTTGGAGTGTGAGCAGGGTAATATTTAGTGAAGGGATTCAGGGAAACCGGTTATTTTCATATAGTCGGACTTGAGTCCTGGAAATGGGAAGTACAATGCCTGCACTTTAAAGGAGGGGTTTGGGATATTGGCAGTTTGGAGGGATATGTTGTGTATCTCTATACGTATATGCTTCTAAACTGTTATATTCTGAGCACCTCTGCAAAAGCAGTGATAATGTGCGAGTGTGGTGAAAGTGTTGAATGATGATGAAAGTATTTTCTTTTTGGGGATTTTCTTTCTTTTTTTTGGGTCACCCTGCCTCGGTGGGAGACGACCGACTTGTTGAAAAAAAAAAAAAAAAAAAAAAATGCTTCTAAACTGTTGTGTCCTGAGCACCTCTGCAAAAACAGTGATTATGTGTGAGTGAGGTGAAAGTGTTGAATGATGATGAAAGTATTTTCTTTTTGGGGATTTTCTTTCTTTTTTGGGTCACCCTGCCTCGGTGGGAGACGGCCGACTTGTTAAAAAAAAAAAAAGCTTTGAACATAAGAACATAAGAAAGGAGGAACACTGCAGCAGGCCTGTTGGCCCATACAAGGCAGGTCCTTCACAATCCATCCCACTAACAAAATATTTGCCCAACCCAATTTTCAGTGCTGCATAAGAAATAAGCTTTGATAATTCTTTTTACTCATGTGCAAGTCCCACTCAAATCCAACCCCTCTCACCCATGTTTTTCTAAAACCTAAATTTGAAACTACCCAAGGTTTTAGCTTCAATAACCCTACTAGGTAGACAGTGTGGTATAAACACTGATCAATGAAGAGGTAAATCCCCTATGGATGGAAATTTAAAAACAGAGATTGGCCTGTAGAGTCTGGACCCAAAGATTCTCTTTAGTAGATCTTATGTGATCTAAGTTTGGTGGAAGTGATGGAGGAGGAGGAGGAAGAGGTGATGAGATGGAGGTGGAGATGGTGGAGGTGGAGGTGAAGATGGCGGAGGTGGAGATGGTGGATGAGGTGGAGGTGGAGGTGGTAGATAAGGTGGAAGTGGAGATGGTGAATGAGGTGGAGGTGGATTTGATATAGGTAGAGGATGATGATTAGGTATAGGTAGAGGAGACAGAAGAAGGAAGAAGAGGAGATGAGGTGGTGGTGGCTGAAGAGAAAGGGGAAGAAACAGAGTTGTGGAGAGGCAGCAAACAGAAAATGCAGTGTGGGGTTAGCAAAACTGAGCGGGCATTGGCAAGAAAAAAAAAGCCTACAAAGAGTTTGCCTCATCAAATATTTATCCTAATTATCATATATAGTGTTGAGAACCTAATATCTTTTGGTACTGATCAGGAAAAAACTACAAGGTACAGTGGAACCTTGGTATACGACCAGCTCCCTACTCGAAAAAATCTCGGCACTCGGCCAAACAAATACAACCTGCCAGAACTTCGCAGTAAACCATTTCATGTTTCTTCACATTTTTTGATATTAATTGTATAAATAAGTCACCATGGGGCCTACAAAGATTAATGATAACAGCCAACCAAACAGAAAATTGGTTGGGAAGAACTTGTTCGATATTCAAACGGAGTGGCACTTGAACAGTCTCCTGGAATGAATTAAGGTCGCATACCGAGGTTCCACTGTATAACCATACATTAAATATAATTGGAGTCAGTGAAATGTAAGTGGTTTTTAGGACTGAACAAGGCATTCAGGAAAATCAGTTAGCTAGACTTGAGTCTTGGTGGTGGGAAGTACAGTGCCTGTACTCTGCAAGTGGGTTGGGGATGTTGCAGTTTATAGGGGTATTTGAGTTCTGACGTCTGCATACATCTGGTATAACTGCTGTTGAATGAATGATGGCGAGCATTTCCTTTTTTGGGGTCAATCTACTTAGGTGAGAAATGGCAGTTGTGGTAAAATGGATCAGTATGCTTAGATATTTGACCTTGTCATATATATAGGGTGTTTCACTCACAGGAGGGCTCCATCCAAGTTGGTACTCCCATAGTTGCAACAGTTTTGTTTGTAAACATGTCTGTAATAAACAATAACTTGGGGACTCCTACTCGCAGGAGGCCCCAAGTTATTGTTTACTACAGACATAGTATACAAATAAAATGATTGCAACTACAGTAGTACCAACTCGGGGTCCCCCACGAGTGAAACACCCTGTATGACATTAAACAGTGTGTTCAAAAATATATGTAATCAAGATATACAAAGCATAGGGAAATGATACAGATCACATCAAGGAAAAGAGGCATGGATGGCAAAACAGGTGATGAACAAAAAAGAATGCTACATAAAAAATAATACGGTGAAAATAGGATATAAAACCAGAATGCTTTCATGTGCTTACACACCAGAGCTAAGGGAAATGTCCTACGAAGAGAGGTTAATGAAAATCGGCCTGATGATACTGGAGGACAGGAGAGTCAGGGAGACATGATAATGACATACAAATTACTGTGTGGAATAGACAAGGTGGACAGAGACAGGATGTTCCAGAGATGGGACACAGAAACAAGGGGTCACAATTGGAAGCTGAAGACTCAGATGCATCAAAGGGATGTTAGGAAGTATTTCTTCAGCCACAGAGTTGTTAGGAAGTGGAATAGTCTGACAAGTGATGTAGTGGAGACAGGAACCATACATAGTTTTAGGACAAGGTATGATAAAGCTCATGGAGCAGGGAGAGGGAGAACCCAGTAGCGGTCAGTGAAGAGGCGGGGCCAGGAACTGAGTCTCGACCCCTGCAACCACAATTAGGCGAGTACACACAGATCTTCAGAGGAATGATTGCTCTGAAGATGGAGGTGTGCAAGCACATGACAGTGCTCAGGTTTTATTCCCTATTTTCACTGTGGTATTTTTACATGTTTGGAATCACGCATTTCACTGTAATTTCTTCCACAAGGAATACTATATTTACAGAACATATCAGTAAGAAAATGCCTGTATAACACATGCAGTAAAATAATCACTTTACTTATGGGGCAAGCAATAAATCATAGCTGTCATACAGCACTTGGGAAATGGGAGACAATCAAACCTAATCCAAGAAAGGGAAGTAACAACAAAGAATAACAAGGCACAATACCATGACTGGAACAATACACAAATAACCTGCACACAGGTGTGACTAGTAAATGGTCCAAGTTGGGCCAAAACATCACAGTTTCAGACTCCTATGTGCGGGTTATTTGTATAATGCAGTGTCAACATCTTGAGAGGTGGTGAGAGTGAATGGTGACCGGCATCACATTAACTCAGCTTCGGTGAGTGGAGTGCATGATGATAATCATGATGAACCATACTGGTGAGGAAGAGTCTAGTCACTAGCTCTTGAGGAAGTCTAGGCACACTGACTGAGAAAGAGTCTAACTACTGAGACAGAAGATGTATATGAATGGACAATGTATTTGATCCATAAATCAGAATCAACCCACTAAACTGCTAACACACACAACTTAGAAAATACTAAACAAAAAAGGTTTAGTTTGTTACATATTAAAACAAACTATACACAAATCAACAGAACTACACCCAACAATCAGTACTAAACTGAACTCACACCAATGGAAAACAATGTTTTACTGTTAAGTAAAAAAAATATCACATAAAAAGACAATACAAGAGGTTAAAATAAATAACAATGTAGATAAAAGAATATTCAAGTGATTGTTGTATAACAATGTAGACAAAAGAATATTCAAGTGATTGTTGTAAAACGCATTTCCTACCACACTCACATGTGAGCTTGCCAGATTGGAAATTTTTTATCCTTGGCTCTATCCAGCATTTCTTGGAGCCCAGTAACACAGAATTCCATGACCATATATATCTGAAAGCAGAAACCCGAGTTAGCTTTAACAAACGGCATTTCAAAGAAATATTAATCATAAACAAGCTAGCTTCAGCAAAATTATTTTAACCCTTTCACTGTCTACCACATAGACAGTCAGATTCAGGTTCTTTAATTTTTATTACTTCAGCATTTATTGTTATGGCTTAATTATATGCAGTACAATAAACTTAGGCTGTTTATTCATCAATCTAGGATCAACCTGAATCCAATAAAGACAGTTTAAGTTCAACCTAGATACCAATACCAGACTGAACTTTAATAATGTTAGGTCATTACATTGTACAATAAATGTACTGTACTCGGGAAATTAATATGGTACAGTCAATACAACTGTTCAAAGACAATGAAACAATGATTTTGAACCACTCCTGTACAACAAAATTCTTTGGTAAAGTGCTACTAAACTGATTTTGCTTCTGAATACACTTCATGTGTTGGGGTGTAAAATTTAACAGCAATGAGAATAATTACTATCCTGATTATTCAACCTGAAGAGTAAAAGGGTATAAAAGTAGAACCAAAAACTTGGAAGGAGGAACGGGAGAAGAACAAATATAAAATTAGAGTTGATTTTATTAGCAAGATAAAGAGAACACATACCTGTTCACATTTTGTCACTAACAATCCTGTTATGCTTATTTTATCTGTTTTATAAAAACTGAGAAATTTTTTAATACTGAATCCATCTTAATCATCAACTTGTAAAATGAAAAATCCACAATTCATTACATATTTCTATCATGTAAGTATAAAACCCCAACACATGCACAATGTTTCATGTATTGTACAGGTACAGAAATACAAACACATTTTGTAAAAAAAAAAAAAGAAGGGAAAGATGTTATCTCATAAGTATCAACTTTCTAAAAAAATATTCACTCATTTTTTAAAGGAAAAAAACAAGAGACCACACATACACCCAACTACCACATCCAAAACAAACAAATAAATACATTTAATAAAAAGATAAATCCCTTATCTACTTACCTTGGCTGAGCTACACCAGCCATCCAGTGTTGCTCATGGACATCTCTGTTATTACACTCTTAAACCGGTACCTACACAAACTTACACCCAAGCGCTGAATTGGGCATGACAAATTTACACAACACTCAGGTTCAAATTAGACCCCACATGACTCAATTTATGTCATCAGAACATATTACTCTAGATCTGGCAAATTTATTTCCACCCAGAAAATAAAAACTTAGTTCCACTGATGCAAAAAGATGTACTGTATTTAGATTCATTTTGACAGTCAGGGGACAGAGATGCACTGTCTACATATCAATATTATTGTAGACAACAGTGACAATGGCAACAATTATGATATGTATATATAAAATACATAGTAATCCCTTGCTTTATGTGAGTTCACTGAACATAAATTCACTTTCATACAATAATAAATTATACTAGTATTTCCCTATGTGCTATATAAATTTATCCTATGCTTAAAGTGGGATTCAAAAAATTCCTAAAATGAAGAAGTAGGCAAGGATTACCCGAGTGAGATTACAATAGCTGCCATGACCCTGGAACATATCTACTGCATTAAGATAGGGACACCTATACAGTAGGGCCCCGCCTAACTGCGTTCTGCTAATACTGCAATTTCAAATTATGACCAAAATTTGCTATATGGCAAACAGTCTTTCAAATATGGCGCACCCCACCCGGTTTGTTTACATTCACCGTGAGCACATCTGTTATGTCTGGAAACTTTCCAAATTTCAAGTGTTTTAAAGTTATTGTGTATTTTATATGTACTCTGCTAGGTAGTAGGTTGGTAGACAGCAACCGCCCAGGGAGGTACTACCGTTCTGCCAAGTGAGTGTGAAACGAAAGCCTGTAATTGTTTTACATGATGGTAGGATTGCTGGTGTCTTTTGTCTGTCTCATAAACATGCAAGATTTCAGGTACGTTTTGCTACTTCTACTTACACTTAGGTCACACTACACATACATGTTCAAGCATATATATATACACACCCCTCTGGGTTTTCTGCTATTTTCTTTCTAGTTCTTGTTCTTGTTTATTTCCTCTTATCTCCATGGGGAAGTGGAACAGAATTCTTCCTCCATAAGCCATGCGTGTCGTAAGAGGCGACTGAAATGCCGGGAGCAAGGGGCTGGTAACCCCTTCTCCTGTATATATTACTAAATTTGAAAGGAGAAACTTTCGTTTTTCCTTTTGGGCCACCCCACCTCGGTGGGATACGGCCGGTGTGTTGAAAGAAAGAAAGATATGTACTCTGATAATTATGCTTATGTGTACCTGTACCTAAATATACTTACACACTGTGCTGGCATGCAGGTACACATTAAAATCACTAAGAGTCTCTCTACTTATGACGCCATAGTAATATGCACTGCGTATATAATAATAATCTCTCTCAGGCACATTAAACGTCTTGTTTTGCGTTAATATAGACATTTTCATTAATCCATCTATGATATTTTCTTCATCCCTGATCAGAAAGTCTGTCATCTGAGCTATTTTTAACAATTTTGAAGAAACTCATAAAAAAAAAAAATTAAGCACAACACTTATATAACCCATCTAGTACTTCTCAGCAGTATTTAGATTTGATCTTTTTTATATGAAACAAGTATAACTTGACAAACAATCAAGAGTCTATTAGAACTAGCCCATCCCAATCCAATTTTTCTGAAATGTTGATTGTCTGTGAAGGTACACGCATACAGGCAGTCAACGGTCATGTTTCCAAGATGGATTGCAATTTAAATGTTCGCGAAAAATTTTCATGGACATTAATATGGAACTTCCCAGTAACAAACAACTTTCATGTTACAGTACCAGAAAATATTTTATCTACATGTATATGAAACTCACAATGGATGTGTCAAACACAGTATGCAAAATAACTGTTAAACCTCCACATTTTAAAAAGAAGTACTGTAATTGTTAAGCAACCTGAACTAAGGTGGAGGAACAACAGAGATATTGTAGTGAATTTGGCAACGTTTGATAAATAATGGCATACTTACACAATTTTAATTCCAAATGAAGACATATACAGTACCATGCTTTGTACTTCTTGTTAATAAGAAATGAGAGATAGTAGACTACATAATATCTCTCCACTCATTCAGCTCCGACACAAACTGGCATTTGATCTATATCAACAATATAAATGTTAAAGTTGAAGCAAATACAGTACACTGAATCACTCCATACTTCTTACTTTGCCCTTTTCGTCATTGTGGTATACATGAAATAAACTAATAACATTGCGGTGTTTCAGTCTTCGTAGCAATCTTATCTCGCGCTGAACATTCTGATCTCCATTCGGAATCCTCCTCAGAGTTTTGCGTTTCATAATCTTGACTGCTCTTCGCTGGAGGGTGTCTGAATCCAGGCATTCTTTGACCTTGCCGTAGCTTCCCTCTCCCAACTTGTCACCCATAACATACTTGCCAACCAACTGATGGGAGAAAAAGAAGGAAAATATACAGTACTGTACTCTATACATGACAATTTAATGGTTCTTTAACAAAGTAAACCAACACAATTCCCTAAAAACTAAAACTGAAGTTAAGTGCGAGATCTTTTAACAAACAAAAATATTTGAGCAACAATAGAGAAAATACATTTAACTTATTATGTATCCAGCCCTCGTCAAATAGTACAGGAAATTCCCAACTTTCAAATGAGTTGCATTCTCAATGTTTCAACTTACAAACGAGTACTATGTAACCCTGAACCTAATGGTCTATAAAAAAAAAAATAATGGTACAGAGGATAATTATGTACCACTCAAATGTTTATAACTGCTGATCTACATTTAAATAATTGAGTTACATAATAATTTTCTCAATATTTAATTTTGATATATTTTAAGTGTCAATCATTGTAACTATAATAAAAATAATAGTTTATTTCAATCTTACAACAAAGATGTATGCAATAAACTAAAGAACAATGGTAAGCATGACATTTTTTGTAAATTTAGACCAGGATTAAGATTACTAACACTAAAGATCCACATGATTGTAAAGTTATGATTATGAGTCTAATATTGACTGGAAGTTAAAAATCTATAATAGTTAACATATAACTGCAATTAGCACATTGAATAGTGCTTTATGAAATAGCAAAAAGGTTAGTTACAATTAGTTAATGTTCAATAAATTTACTGCAAGATAGATTAAAACAGCATTAGGCATACATTATACACAGTATTTGTTTTGGCCTAACTTTGAATTTAGAAAGTATGTTGCAATTTTTTTAGTTTGTCTATTAAAGTATTCCACATTTCTGGGCCTTTAATTTGTATCACATTTCTATACATGTTCAACTGAACACAAGGATATCAGAAAGGCATTTATTTCTGGTGTGATGTGTGTGTGTTCTGCTACAATTTTCCAGGACTTATCTTCAATCAGCAACACAATTAGTACAGTGAAGCATTAAGAACATGTGAAGCAAACAGTAGTATGCATAAATGACATTTATATTTAGTAGTTTTATGTATTTTAATGGGGACATAGCGAGTTGCCTATAATTACAGTTTCTGATTGTTCCAAAAACTGCCTTCTGTTGGGATATACAGTGGACCCCCGCTTAACGATCACCTCCCAATGCGACCAATTATGTAAGTGTATTTATGTAAGTGTGTTTGTACATGTATGTTTGGGGGTCTGAAATGGACTAATCTACTTCACAATATTCCTTATGGGAACAAATTCGGTCAGTACTGGCACCTGAACATACTTCTGGAATGAAAAAATATCGTTAACCGGGAGTCCACTGTAATTGGTTAGAGTTAAGTTGCTGAAGTGAATCCCCAGGCACAGATCCTATATTTAAGGCATGGGTAAATGAGTGAAAAGTAGAGTAATGAGGGCTGTGGAACATAATAGCAAAATTTGGAGAGATCTCTAGTCTTAGAGATTTTTGTTGATATGCATTGGATTTTATTTTTTTTTTTCAACAAGTCGGCTGTATCCCACAGAGGCAGGGTGACCCAAAAAGAAAGAAAATCCCCAAAAAGAAAATACTTTCATCATCATTCAACACTTTCACCTCATACATAATCGCTGTTTTTGCAGAGGCGCCCAGATACAACAGTTTAGAAGCATATACGTATAAAGATATATAACATATCCCTCCAAACTGTCAATATCCAAAACCCCTCCTTTAAAGTGCAGGCACTGTACTTCCCATTTCCAGTACTCAAGTCTGGCTATATAAAAATAACCAGTTTCCCTGAATCCCTTCACTAAATATTACCCTGCTCACACTCCAACAGATTGTCAGGTCCCAAAAACCATTCGTCTCCATTCACTCCTATCTAACAATCTCACGCACGCTTGCTAGGAGTCCAAGCCCCTCACTCACAAAACCTCCTTTACCCCCTCCCTCCAACTTATTCGAGGACGACCCCTACCCCACCTTCCTTCCCCTACAGATTTATACACTCTCCATATCTTTCTACTTTGATCCATTCTCTCTAAATGACCAAACCACCTCAACAACCCCTCTTCAGCCCTCTGACTAATACTTTTATTAACTCCACACCTTCTCCTAATTTCCACACTCCAAATTTTCTGCATAATATTTACACCATGCATTGCCCTTAGACAGGACATCTCCACTGCCTCCAACTGCCTCCTCACTGCAGCATTTACAACCCAAGCTCCACACCCATATAAGAGAGTTGGTACCACTATACTTTCATACATTCCCTTCTTTGCCTCCATAGATAACGTTTTTTATCTCCACATATACCTCAATGCACCACTCACCTTTTTTCCTGCATCAATTCTATGGTTAACCACATCCTTCATAAACCTATCCGCTGACACGGCAACTCCCAAATATCTGAAAACATTCACTTCTTCCATACTCCCTCTCTCTATATGACATGAACATTAACCCTGTCAGGGTCCAGAGGCCAAATTTTAAAGAGTGCATCAGGGTCCAAGAATTTAAAAAAAAAAATTTTGCTATTTTTTTTTTTTTAAATGGTAGAGAATTTTTTTCTGAAGGTAATAAAACAAAAAGTATGAAATTTGATGGAAAATTGACGAAATTATGCTCTTGCGAATTTTGATGTGTCAGCGATATTTATGAATCGGTGATTTTGCCAACTTTGACTCCCATTTTACGCCAATTACATTATTCCAGTCGACCAAATTCTTACCTATTTCACTAGTATTACTTCTATTCTATCGACTGAACACAATTAATCGCCCAGTCAACTGTTTCAACTACAAAATAAAGTGATCGGAAATTGGTAACTTGGCCAATTTAACGCAAAGTTCAAAATATTCCAGTTTCAAAATAGGGTCCAGAATAAACAATGCAGGCATTCCTGGCACTAAACTAACATTTCCTCTGTTCATTAGTTATGTTTTCAGGCTTTACAAATGAATACCATTTTGATTTTTTATTCACATAATGAATTTTTATTCAAACCAAAAAAATTGAAGATTTACTGTTATGCAATATTGTAATAATTGTATAAATATCATCACCACATTTGTGAACGTATAATAGACCCACCAACTGGCGTGTATTAGACGTGTGAGGTCGTTTGTTTACTCTTGAACATCGACAAAAATTTAACATTTCCGCTACTTTGAGCTCAGTTTCAAGCCATTTCCAGTTCTAAAACCAATCAAAATCATCTCTATTTCTGTAATATATCTTCCATTCTATCAAATGAGACCAAGAAATCGCAAATACAACTATAAAAAACATACAAAAAAATACTGCAAAGTCGCTGTTTTAATCGAAAATCACGGTCTCAGTTTTTTTTCTCTCATTATACACTGTGTGCTGCAGGATTTGTTTTGTGTGGTGCACACATACCACATAGATGCATTCTCTCATAGCTAGGCCCAAATTTACCACTCACAGCTTATCAGAGTGAGCTGAGCTCATGGCATAGATCTACGGTTTGGACCCTGAACGTAAAGCCGTAGATCTACGGCACGGACCCTGAAAAGGTTAAATGATATGAACATTAAATTCCAGTTTGTTGACTAGTATTAGACCTTTGAATTTCTCTTCTTTTTTAATCTCATTGATCCTAATGTCCAACTGTGGACATGGTTTATCCCCCAAAGATAAACAGAATTTTTTTCAGCACCATGGGTGAGTTTGTTGGTAATCATCCATCCATTGATTTTTTTTAGTTTGTCATTTGCTACAGAGCTTGTTTGCAAGGAGTCTGAGTTACACATCTTAAAGGTAGTGTCATCAGCAAAGTGTATGATTTCAGATGTTGGGTGGCATTTGATAGGTCATTGATACAGACGAGGCAAAGAAGAGGGCCCAGAATGCTATCTTAGGGGATACCTAAGTTCAATGGTAAGGTGCTACACGAGGTATCATTAATGGTTGCATGCCATTCATTTAAGTATTACTGGAAATATGTGCAACAGTGCCCTCTGAGTCCATAGTGATTATGAGTGGCAGTGTGTCAACAGCATCAAAGTGTTTTGCAGGTCTTTAAGGTGCTGAACTTGGGTAACTGTTGCTCACTGTATGTAATTCCTATAAGTGTTCAGCATCCTTAGAAAATCATTAAAATGATTAAAGATTAAGGATTTTATTTCTTTGCAAAGGATGAGTCAGGGGACTCCCCCAGTAAATGCAAACTGCAGTTGAACATGCATACCCAGAGTCGTTTATTCCAGGATCTCATTACAATTGGACCAATTCTACTGGCTCACCCGTCTCGTATTAAACAGCAAACCTCAAGTAACCTGAAGTGAGGCAGCATTAGTTTATGCAAGTGTGAGCGATAGAGAGCAAGAGCAATGCAGAGCATGAACGACTGAAAGTCCAAGGGATCAAGGGTGCAAATGACAAAGAATGCAAGCAACCAAGAGTCCAAGCGAAGGAGAATGAGTGATGAAATGTGAGCAGTGGAGTGTGTTAGCAATGGAGTGTGTCCCTGATGGTGTTTGTGAGGGATAGGGAAATAACAAACTGAATTATTTGTTGTATTATAGTGTGTTGGATAGGGAGAAAACATGGTGTATGTGTAGTAATGGAGAGTTCCATAAATATGAAACTCTCTACAAGAAGACGCAAAGCATTCCCTAGCTGTCAAAATATTGTTAAAATACACTTCCTGCATCTAATGTAAATTTTAAAGCAGACTGCATAGTATATCTATCATCTATTGCAACCTGCTTATCCAGCCCAAAATAGCTGTCATGTATCTTTATGCAATTACTGTCACCACTTTAACTCAAACCCTTCCTCTTCAAGGATTATAACCAAAATTGTCAACAATCTATGTATCAATCTCTGCTCATCAACATATTACAGTATATTAAACCCAGCAAGCAAATAATCAAACCTTCAGCTACTGCATATACATTTTTTTTTTTTTTATCACACTGGCCATTCCCACCAAGGCAGGGTGGCCCGAAAAAGAAAAACTTTCACCATCATTCACTCCATCAC